TATATCCTTTAAACTATTGAAGTGACGGCTTTTATGATTCGGGAATATTTCATAGAGTAACTATTGGGCTACCCAAAGATAATTTTTTTATATTTTTGATTCCATTTGTTTATCAGTTTTTTTTTTATTTATTCTAATTATTACACGGTTAAGGGTACATTTTCTGGATTCCATTGTCCTTATTTTCTTACCTAACACTAATAATTTATGTTGTTCTTGCTGTTTTTTTATAATTTTGGAATTTTCAATTTATTACTTAACGATTGTCAAAGCAAAAACTCAAAATTTTTGCCAATAGTGCAGTCTGAAAGGCATTTACGGAATTGAATAAACTTTTTACAATTGTTCAATCAGATCTGCATAAAAAAATGAAATTATTTACTTGTGTTTGTCGTTTATGTTAAGAATTCTATATTTTATTGTTTAAATTTTGAAAAATATGCATAGAACAGGATATATTTCTACGCACTTTTATTAAGTAATTGTAATTTTAAAACTAAAAACTAAAAATTATCAGAAAGCCCATTGTTACTTTTAATGAATTATTTTGCTTAATTTTAAGGATATAGTATTTGATAGAGTCATACACAATTCTATATAATGAATTAAAATAAAAAAAACATGATTATATATAATTGTACGGCTGTAACACCAGCAGTCACCCATCCAACTACTAACCACGCTCAATGCTGTTTAACTTTAGTGATATCCGTGCGCTTTGAAGTTTCCGCCTGCTGTGCTGCTATCTTGCGTGACAACAATTCTATGAAGTACATAACGTATCGAATAAGTTTATCATAAATATAATATAAAAATTAATTTTATAATATATTTTGATAGTCCTAATTTATTTATTTAACCGAATCTCATTATCAAATTTATTTAAATAATAAAATAAGTAATGATTTTAATATTAGGCAGAAGCAGAGCAGACTGAAACATCCAATAGAAAATGTAATAAATTATTTTATTTCAAAATTATTTAAACGTAATGATAAAAATAATTTTGCACTTTTTGTGATGACCAAAAAAATTTTTTTCGTCAAAGAAAAAATTTTTATCACATCTCTGACTTAAGCAAATCTGATCAGATCTAACCGGAAAAAAATGATCAGACCTGACCATGCCTGTTCATGTATGATCAGGCCTGAAATTAAACCTGCTCATGTCTGTTCATGTATGATCAGGCCTGAAATTAGACATGGTCATGCCTGTCCATGTCTGAAGTGTTACATACGCACAGGCCTCATCATACCTGTCCATGCCTGTTCATCCCTGTTCATGTTTGAAGCGTTCAATATGCACAGGCCTGATCATACCTGTCCATGTCTGTTCATATCTCAAGCGTTAAATACGCTCAGGCCCGATCGTACCTGTCCATGCCTATTCATGCTGAGGACCAAATATGCTAAGAAAAATTTTTTGAATATGTTCAGTGTATGTACATTAATTTCGATTAATGAATTTGTAAATTATCAATAAACGGTATATTTTATTATTCAATAAATAAAAGTATTTTGATTATCATTAAAAACCTCCCACAGGGTAAATTTAATTAACTTTTCTAGGCATGGACAGACATGAACAGGCCTGAGAATATTTAATGCTTCAAACATGAACAGGCATGAGCGTATTTAACCCTTCAGACATGAACAGGCATGGACAGGCCTGATCAGATCTGAGCGTATTTAACCCTTCAAACATGAACAGGCATGAACAGGTCTGATCAGACATGAACAGGCCTGATCAGACCTGAGCGTATTTAACCCTTCAGACATGAACAGGCCAGATCAGACATGAACAGGCCTGATCAGACCTGAGCGTATTTAACCCTTCAGACATGAACAGGTCTTATCAGACATGAACAGGCCTGTTCAGGCCTGAGCGTATTTGACGCTTCAGACATGAGCAGGCATGAACAGGCATGATCATGTCTAATTTCAGGCCTGATCATAGATGCAGGCATGGTCAGGTCTGATCATTTTTTCCCGGGGTTGCATACTTTGTTTGGCGGGGACGCCTAGGCACCGAAACGGCCGCGCGGTGCCTAACTTTCAACGTTAAATGAAAATTATAAATAATGGAGCTACAACTCCGGGAGTCATGACTTCTTTTGCTAAAATTTTCTCCTCTTTCAGGATCTTTTTTCAAATTTCAAATATCTTTAATATTTTTGAAGTTATAGCTAAAAAACGGAGACTCCCTTTTTGTCTCTTCGTTTTTTGTTTATAACAAATGAAATTTTTAATGGCGGAAAAATTAAAAATTACCCATTTCGCAGAATTAAATTCTGAATCCAATGCATCAATCGCCATATTTTTAAGATTGGACCGGCGATTTTTCGCAGAAAACTCACTTCTCGACTAGACTATATGTAAATAAATAAATAAACGCATGTATCAAAACAGAGGTTAGTCTACAGTTGTCCAAAACACTACAGTATCCCATATTATCCCATAATAAAATTAAGATAAAATGTATGTGAAATTATAATCATGACATGATTAAATTCAAACTTAAACTTTATTTAAAGAATATAAGTTTATATGGTAACAACAAAAAAAATCGAAAAAAACTACAGAACTAAGTAACTTATATGACTTCTTCCGAAAAATGTTATGTCACAGGAATTATCAGTAGAATTTATAATTATAAAAAAAAAAACACGATTTTTAAAAAAAATGCATTGAATACATTCTAATAAATAATCTTATTAATAACATGTTATAAAGAAATTTCTCAAAAAGTTACATCATGATAATAAAGTAAAAAGTATAAATCTCTAATAAATTTTTCTAAACATGACTCTTTGAACGAGAAGTACTAATACATTCTCTACTTTAAAGTAGAGAAATCATTAGTATTATTCAAATCACTCAAATCTGAAATAATTAACTTCATAATAAATAATAACTATTTTAAAATGATTTCACTTATTAAACGCGTAAAAAAAATCGGCATTACTAGAAAACCAATTATTTATGGTGATTAATATAGTAGGTAATTTTTAAACTGGTAAATGTTCAAAAATGTCTAAAACATTTAAAAAATTTTTTTTAATTATGTTTTTGCGGCGAATAGTAGTGCCCGGTCAATACTAGCGTCGCAGATCATAATAGTGGGGATAAAACGGAACTTTTCTACCGTAGATCAGACATTCAATTATATATAGAGTCATTAAACTTTTTAACTGCAAAATTTTGTCATTCATTTGAGTAGTTTTTTAAAATAGCTATTGATATCAATTAAAATGAAAATCAGATTTTGATCATACTGTAGTCAAAATGAACTTTGAAATATTATTTATGTATACGTAAAAATATTTAAAAAATATTGTCATTCACTCCATCTTATTTTTATACGTGAAAACATTACTTTATTATTATTGATGTCATAAAACCGATTAATTTAAATCAAATAATTATTCTGAAGGCATAGGATTTACAAACGTACGTGTCATCAGACACGTAGATTTCATTTAGAACTTGTCAAATAGTCATTGACCCAGCCATTAATATCAATAACATTAAGTATTATTGAAAAATAATTTATTTTGTTAAATTATTATTTTGAAAGAATTAAACCGAATTAATTAAAAACTAAATATCTTCATAAGTGTTTAACAATAAAAAGGACCGCCTTTTTCAGAGAGGGGATTCCGAAAATAACGTCACTGCGTCGTTTCGTCCGATAGAGAGGGAATCTCCTGCGTGAAACTGGCGCAAGGGCTTTGCAGTTAGAGAGCCGGTAGCCCTCGAACCTATAAGTGAGCTATTACCAAGGCTTTCCCTGAATAAGAAGGTATTCTAGAAAAAACAAAATAAAATTTAACAAGACATTTTGTAATTTTGGTTGATATTTTTAAACATTTTTTGTCATGAGATTAGTGGATATCCTTTTATAATTTTGTATTCAATTACTGTAATAATCACCTAATTGTTAGATTTATTCAGAAGTGCTATTGAAAAGAAGATAAGACATAAGAATTTTTAATTGATTGAATATTAAGTATTAGTGGTTAAATAAATTTTTTTTCGTTTTTTTTTTATGAAAAAGATTTTGAGCATTTTTCTCTTTTCTTATCCAGAAGAATAAAAGTTAGAAGGTAAGTAATAAAATTATGGATTTTTTTAATTATCCTTTTACGTTTTTCTGAATAGATTTAATTGTAATTATAATAAATTGAAAAACTTTCACTTACTTTTTAATGTTAGAGAGAGATGCTAATTTTGTTTCAAGATGAAATAAAAAATTATTTTCGAGTGATGAATATCGGATTATTTAAAAAAGATATAGTTAAACCTGAAAAAAATCAATACAAATGCCGCGTCCAAATAATTTTTAGTATTACAAGTTAAATTTAATTTGAAAATTTAGCTTGTTGGATATAGGAGGGGTTGTTACTAAGGGCTATAATGTGACATGAGTCTATAGTCAGAAGTTGAATGAATCATCAAATAATATAAGAATTATATGACAAAAATTTAGTATCTTTTACGAATTTTTAATTTTGAAAATGAACATTCTCAATCATAGTAGATTTTAGCAATTAATAAAATTCCGGAATTCAACAAAAGTCAACTTCAATGCAATGATTAAAGTGTATTTTTTTTTCTAGAGATGAAAAATCTGATTATAATATTTTTTTTCAAGTAGTAGTTCTCACGAACAAAATGTTTTATTATTAATCATATATAATGACGACGATTAATATAATTTTTAAATATAAATAATTAAAAAAAAAAAGAAACATCAGATTTCTACTCATTAGTTTTGTACTTAAGTTAAATTGCATTTTTTCTTTATTCAAATATATTAGCTGTTCGAAATATGTATAAAAATTTCGATTTCCAATACTTCTACGACTCAATTTCTCGAAATTAAAACTCGTATCAATTACTTTATTATTCATCATTTAAATTAAGGGATTTGAGGTTTTTATTTTGAAAGAAAAAAAAAATTAATCATTCAATATCTGTAATCATTGAAACATTGATGACATGACAGATATTTACATCATGGACTCCTTCGAAAAAACGATAGAACGTAAAGAAGAAAGTCCAGTATTAAATCAAACTACAAATGATCCTGGTACAATGGCTATCGATACAACAAATATGATTTCAACAACTCCTGGATCTCATCAACATCCACCACCTTCACCTCTTAGTGGATGTTATCTTTTGGTTGTGCTTCCTGAGCCACATGCCATCCAACATAAGCATTTTATTCTTGATAAACTTGCCAAAGGTGAATTTATTTATCTATCAATTTTTAAACTGAATGAATCACTCATAACACTCATGATTAATCATTATTCAAAAGTTTGAGTTTTTTAAGTCGTGTTTGACAGTTATAATTCCTTAAGTATTGCAAGAGTCAGTAAGATGTACAACAATCGCCAAAATAAGCTACTTTACTGCCACACTTAAAAGTGGTATGATAAAGCTAAATTTATCATGGTATTCGGTCGTTCCCCTTAAGCTCTATCACGTATACATTTTTTTTTTGTTTACTGTACTCTTTGAGAATTTTCAGACGTTATTATTTTGTTTTAAACTTGGCCGTGAAATATCTTCAGAGAATTCCTGGAACAAAGCAATATTCCTTTTCTAAAATTCATATTTTGTTTTTTATTTTTTATCTTGATGAATACATATTATCCTTTTAAACTAATAAAAATAAAATCGTTAAGCAATTTTTTCAAAAATTAGTATGACACGAAAAAAATTATATATTTGTCAAAATTAAACTATTTTACTGAGGGCGGATCCTGTGACGTCATAGTTACCGCACCCCCTGTCACGTGGTTCTTTGCGGCTTGAATCGATCGGCGCTTATAACTGCTTTCAATTCAATAAAAATAAATAAGTGTGTATACAATATATGTAAAAACACAACTTCATTATTACTAATATATATAAATATTATTCTAGGATTTTTGTCTTGGGATAAAGAAAATTGCCATGTTGATTTAGAAAAGGAATTAGAAGCTTTAGTTGCACAATCACCCGAAGGTGAAGAAGCTCGAAACGGTAATTAAACAATCAAATACTAAGCACTTTACAAGACGTGTAATAATTTTTATCAAAAATAAATATAAAAAAATTATTTCTCAGGGGAACGTTTGATTCAGTATGCAACAGAGAATCTTGTTACTGAAATTTTAATTCATCCACAAACTAATACATTATTACAGTGTATTAGAAATCTTTTAGCAAGCTTTACAAAGCATCGTCATATCATTCACGCTGGTTATACGTTTAGTGAAAATGGTTCCTGGATACTGCAGGTTTGTTTTTACTTTTTGTATAATAGGATAAAATAAACCAGTAACTTTCTTTTACTATTATAAATAAATAAAGCATTATTATTTATATGATTAAGAGAATAAAGAAAATTTTGTTTCTAGGGTATTTATATGATAAAATAGAGTTTTTTTTAGTAAAATTCAGTATCATTAGAAAGGTCAGATCAAGATCTGAATTTATGCATTTTCAAGATTTATTTATTTATTTTGTTTTGAACATGTGAATGTGAATGTATGTTAAATATCAAATTCACATAATTTTATTCATTCATATAATTAAGAGGATAAGGAAAATTTTTACGGGCACATATTCATTTTAAAAGATATTTTTATTATTCATTTTGATGATATCAAAAAGGTTTTGACGTGAATTTGTGACTTCACGATTTTATTGGTGACAATCAATTTTTATGTTATTTTTGAAACATTTTCAAATAGCATTGGTTCTATAAGTTTATTCCGTCACATTTTTCATTAAATTATTGGTAACTGATAGCTATAATATTTTTAAAATTTATTTAAAAATTACCTAAACTATGTATATTGTAATTAAAAATATTGAAAAATCACTAGCCCCTTTCATTCATAAGTCGTAATCCTCGACAATCACATAGTGTGTGCAGATTGATAGTTATTATTATTTATTTATTTATTTATTATATTATCTGTTTTTTTTTCAATATTACTACAAATGACTTTTATTGTTTTACTGACACATGCATTGATATTGATAGGATGGAACCTTCAGCTTGGCTGATTTTTTTGATGCATTTAATGAGCATGACGTGCAACGAGTACTTCGAGCTTATGAGAATAATGTGACAATTGACATAAGCTGTGCTGGAATTGGTGAATGGTCTACAGAACGATTATCTCAAGAACCTTCTACTCGGTAATATTTTGTGTAATTGAAACTTATATGGCTGCCCCAATTCAAAATATAGTAATTGTAGTCCCTGACATTTTTACGAATTTCCAGACTTTACAAAATTTTTACAAGACTTTAAAAATAGAAAAAAGTTTATACTTTAAATTAATGAAAAATTTAATTCATGTATAGAATATGTATTAATACAAAATTTTCAAGAAATAAAATCATGAGATTACTCCCTTGAAGTAATAAAAAATATAACAATACTTAAAAAAATAGATCTAAAAATTTTGCAGTTACTGTGTTTTGAAATGGTAGAGCAATATATTCCGTATTACTGAACAAATTGATAATTTTTTTTATTATTTATTTAGCTCATGTAGGATCCGTTTAAATCCCGAAGATATATTATCAACAAGATTACCAGCGATTACGAGCTTTATTAATTATATAGAACAATATTTAGTTACACAAACATTAGCTCAGTTAATGCAGCCATCTGATGTAGTTGGTAATATCCGATTCAGTCATCCGACACTCTATGTCTTCCCTGGCGGTCAAGGTGATGCAGCTCTTTTCGGTATAAATGGCTTCAATATGTTAGTCGACGGTGGTTTTGCTAGAAAATCATGCTTTTGGGATTTCACAAGACATTTGGATCGACTGGACGCTGTTCTTTTTACAAGAGTAAATAATAGTAATATCGGTGGTATGTCCAGTTTTCTTCGTAAGAAAAAAGAGACACAAGTTTATCCTCAAATCGGACATTTTTTTGGTAATATATTCGAAAGCAAGCAGTTACGTTCATCTGATGATAATAAAGACGATGATCCCCTTATTATTAGCCTTATTGATCTTGGACAAGAACTTGTTACAAATTTAAAACATATTCATTTACGTCCCCATCTCTGTTATAGGAGGCAGGATCCGATAAATCTGTATCATAAAGTTGGACATGGCACGTTAGATATGTATGTCTTGAGTCCAGTGAAAGACAGTCGAGAAGTGAAAGATTTTTTATCAAAATGGACTGCTGCTGACCATAAGCTTTTTGCTGATTCACATAAGAAAGACTCAAATAATTTTGCATTTCCAATTAGAAATATGGTATCCATCTGTGCTTTAATAGTTTGGCAACCTGCTAACCCTGAAGATACTATTACAAGAATTCTTTTTCCTGGAAGTACTCCACAACATACAATTTTTGAAGGTATCGAACGATTGAAGCATCTTGAATTTTTGAAGCATCCAACGTGCTCTGCCAAAAATTTATCACCTGCTGTATCTCTAGCTACATTAAAGGAAAAATCTACAAAACTTAAAATGAACCAAATGGACAGAGAAATAAAGCGGACAAATGAAACAAAAATCACTAAACGTGAAACATCGGAAGTTAAAGTATCAAAAATAGAAAGTCAATCGCAGAAGCAAGAGACGAAAACTAAAAAAACAAGTGACTTAGAAATTAAAAAGGTTGATAATACAAAAGAATATTCGAAAACAATGATTGACTTGAAAGAATCGAAAAAAAACGAAAAAGATATTAAAGACATGAAAAAAGAATCAAAAAAAGATTCTCAGAAAGAAAGTGAAGGAAAGAAATTTGAAATGATTAAAACTAATGAAGAAGATAAAAATATCGTAAACAAAGAATTAAAACGAAAAATAGAACGAAAAAAACAAGACCCTAAAGATTCGAAAGAAATAAAGATAACACCACCAGTAGGAAAAATCGAAAATAAATCTGAATCTACAAATAAAAAGATGAAAATTTCTACATCAAAAAAACCTCTAACTGGATTACCCACTAAACCAGAACTTCTAAAAACATCAATGCCTAAAACGACCAGCAAACCTTCTGCGAAGCAAATATATCCACCTGCAAAAAGTACTAAAGATGCAAATAATAGAAAAGTTTTAGAACAAAAAAATATAGAAAAAATAACTTCTAAGCAAAAGCCGTCTCCACCAGCTGCTCCAGCTGAAAAGAAACCTGTTATTCGTCGCATAAAATCAACTTCCAGCCCCAGTAAAAATCGGCTACCAGGAAGCCCAATGAAAGTAGCAAAAGTTACTTCTACAGTACCTATCAAACTAGAAAAAGATGCTATTCAAAAAAAACTTAAAATTGAAACAGAAGCAGCTGATTCATCAACAGTATCAACATCATCAGTTGTTGATATGGATTCAATGAAATTTGTTGATAAATGCTTAACTGAAAAATCTGAAGACATGTCGCTTGATTCTATTGAGAATAAAGTTCTTGCTGATCTTAAAGAGGAACGACAAGTTGTTGAAGAAATTGAAGCTGTGTTACAAAAAGCTGAAAGAATAGAGAATACTCGAGATAATCTTATAAAAGATAAGCATGGCGTTTCAGAAGATACCGGTAAAAAGTATGAAGATTTGACTGAAGATGATGTGACTGTAGAAATGGATGAAATACCAAGAAAATCGATTTCTCGGAAAGCTAGTCAGGAACTTACTGAAGAAGATGAGTATTTAATTATTGAAAAAGAAGAAATGTATACGGAAGATTCTGTTCATAGTGGAGAAACAGAGCATAAGCACTTCTTAGATGTTGTTGAAACAGAAAAAAATCTTGTCCATGATTCGTTTACTAAAGAAATAGAGGATCAAGAGATCGTTAGAGATGATAAAGAAGATGATCACAATGATGATGATGATAACTACCCTTCTGATTATGTTGGTAATGAAGGTTATATTGATGATGATGATAATGATGATGATGATGATGATAACGATATTGATGATGAAAATGAGGATGTTGAGGATGTTGAGGATGATGGTGATGATGATAATGTATTAAAGAAGGATAAGGAAAACGACAAAGATGAAAAAGAACGAGAGAAAAATAAAGAAGACAGAATGGATAACGAATACCACAAAGGCACTGAAAAAGACACTGTGATAGAGAAAGGAATTGTTGAAGAGCAAGAAAAAAGTGACAAAAAAATACATGACGATTCTGAAATAGAGAAAAAAGAACAGCAAAGCACAAGTATTTCTGTTTCTAAAGATAAAAAATTAGAGGAAGAAAAAATAAAAGGAGTTATTTCAGCTACTACAGATATAAATCCGAAGAAAGGTACACATAAAGAGTTAGTTGAAACAGATAGTGAAGTCGTAAATAAAGAACCATCAAGTTCAAGTCCAGAGAAATTGAATTTGGAAAAGAAAGCAAAAATTGACTCTGATTCAAAACCAGAGATAGGAAAAGACACTCAGATTCGAGAGAAATTCGAAGAATCACTAGAGAGAGTCTCAACTTTGGAATCTGGAGCCACTACAACAGCACCGACTTTACCAGAAGATGAGCGAATCTCTATTGAAGGTATGAAACCAACTTCTTCAGAGATTGTTAAACAAGGAAAGGCCGAGGACATAAAAAAAATAGAAACTTTTGCCAAATCGAAAACCATCCCTCTAGCTCCCATAGAGGTTCCGGAATTGAAATTTACCAGTAAAGAGTTACTAACGCAGCACCCCATTCCAGCTCTTCCAAGAGATATTGTGAAAACTCCTGATGAAGTGGCTGATTTGCCTGTACATGAGGAAGTGGATCCAAAACTTTATGAGATAGACAATTATGATACAAGTAAAGAAGACAAAAATCAATATACCAAAGAATCGGTTATTTCTTTCAAAGAACAGAAAAATATTCCAGAGGTTTTTAGTAAACCCACTGATAAATGCGAGAAAGGTATTAATAAAATTAACGAAGGTACTCGGAGAGACTCTGAAAAGGATATTGATGAAAAACTGTTTTCAAAATCAGGATCTCCAAAAAAAAGTTTTGATGTTGATGAATTATTGTCAGAAAAAAAAACTGAAAAAGATCATCAATTAATCCATGATGACGAACAAGTTGATTCTAAAAAAATAATGGGGCCAAAAAAAGAAGATAAAGAAATTGATATACCTGAAACAATTTTAACCAAAAAAGAGATTACATTAGATACTCACTCACTACAAATTGGTGAAGTTAATGAGAACGTTGAAAGTGTTGAAGATGTTGAAGCTTTGTTAGAAGAAGCATCTAAAAAGTTTAAAACCGTAAAAGACAGTCTACGAGATTCATTAGAGTCATTAGAAGAACATATAGTTGAAGAAGAGTTTAAAAAAACCACACTAGAACTTGATAATGATAATGAGATAGAGGGAAAATTGAACAAAGTAGCTGAAAAATTGGAAGAAATAGAGCCAAGAAAACAAAATATTTCAACTGATATGGCCGCACAAAATATAAAATCAGATGTTTTAAAAAACGATAGTTCTGATTATGTTGAGCGAAGTGATACCATTAGCCCTGTTAAAAATATCAAAGATGCTGTAAAAGATGTAGGTGAAGTACTTGCAGGAACAGCTGGTATAATTATTGATGATAAACCAAAAGATGTCATTGATATTGTCAAAAAAGTTGCAGAAGTACTTAAGGAAGATAATTTTCTTCCGGTTCAGTATCCAGTTCAAGATAAATTAAAAACTGAAGTTGAAGAAGATTTGAATGATAAAATATTATCGCAAGATCATCATATTAAAGTACTGGATACTTCATCACCCATAAGAAGTAGAAGTGAGTCAATAACTGAAGCTAAATTAATGTGTGCTGAATTATTAAAAGATAATGTGGTGCCTCATTTACAAGAAAGTGTTCTTAGTGAAGATATTATAAGTTCTGACGTGGATGTTTTAGAAGTGGGAATTGAAAAGGTATGTAAAAAAGTGAATACCAATCTGCAAAAAGATGATTCCCATCAAGCCATAAGTGACGTAGTGACTTCAGAAATCGCATTTGACCATAAAATGATACCTACAACTGCCGAGGTAGTCTTAATTACCCCAGATTCAATGCCACCATCACCTAAGCTCTCGATAGAACTTCAAGAAGATACTTCTGTAACTGAAGATGTTAGAAATATTATTAAAAATAAAGATAATATTTATGATATAATTGAAGATATACTGTTAACTGAGAAATCTAAGATTTCTGATAAAGTGTTAGATTTTATTTCTACTAGTAAACAAATTTCTAAACAGGAACTTATTGTAATTATAGACCAAATTATTTCTAAGGAATATCTGTTACAAAGTAAAGTAGATGAAGCTAGTAAAATGAGTAAAGTAGATGAAGCTAGTAAAATGAGTAAAGTGGAGAAAGAAATAGCTGATGACATTAAAAAGCATCAACTTGAAGATTATATTCAAGAAAGTTATCTGAACAAAAATATACCGATCACTTTAGAAATTTTAGAAGAAATAGCTTTAAAACATTCATACCCAAGGTTTTTAATAATTGAAATCATTGAAAGTATTATTACGATGAAAGGAATTACGAAATCATCTGTAATAAATATCTCTGAGAAAGCTCTAATACAATTAGCTCAGGAGTATGTTCCAACACGAGATGTAATTATGGATCAGAAAAGTTCACTCGACGATAAAGTTACAGATGATATTCAATACGATGAGGTTGCTCAAATACCAGATAAAGTAATATCTGAAATCAATCATTTTATTTCAAAAGAATTTATAGAAAAAAAGAAAATTATTGACATTAATGTTATCGATAGAATTCACCAACAATATTTTATTTCCAAACGAATTATCATTGAAATTATAAATAACTTAATTATAAATAAAAAATTAAGAAAACAGTCAGTTGTGGACAGTACCGTATGGGATTCCTATGAATCTAGCGATGGAATAGATGAAATTTTAAAAACTGTTAGAAAGGATGAGATTGTAAATAAAGTCGTCAGTGATTCTTCAAAAGATTCATCGGAGAGAAGCGAAAAAGGTTCACCTACTGAGGCTGTGGATGAAATTGAACTTAATAATCGTGGTAAAACTAAGTATAGAGATGAAAAAGAAGAAGTCATAGAAGACATTGAAAAAGAAGACAAAAATTTTGATACAGAAAGTAATATAAAATTAGCTAAATCATCATTGACGAGTTTAGAGACAACAGCATCAAGTGAAGTAATACTGACAAGTGACCTTAAAGAACAAATTATTTCTAGTAAAAAACAAAAAGGAGCTGAAGATGAAAAAATGAATATGGAAGCTGTTCAAGATAAGATGATTTCACCATCTATTACACCAAGCACGAAGGATCATTCAGCTGAACCTGAAGTAAGCACAAAAGATGATGAAAAGTATATTCATACCATAGATAATTCACTTACAAAAACGGATAAACCCTTCGAATTGGATAATAGTGAAATTTCAGATAATGAATTATCATTTTCACGGAAACACTCAATATCAAAAGATCAACGTGCCTTGATTGAAGGTGAAAAAGATAATAATAAAATTTTAGATACTCAAACTGATGATCTGTCAATCATACCGAAAGTATTAAAGACAGAAACAGTAAGAAGTTGTGAAGTAGATGATGAGGAGGATAAGAAAACGGCAGAAAGTTCATTAGTGTATAACGCAACAATAAGTCTTGATAAAATGGGAAATCTAGAGAAATATTCAGCCTCAGAATTAGATATAATTGACTCATCGTCATCGCAAGCGTTAATTACACCGACTCAAAATAAGTATCCAGTAGACAGCGCAGAAAATGTGCAGCATTTGATTGGATCGCATACTACACCAGCATTGCCAGAATCAAGCGAAAGAATAGAACTTTACAAACATCAGGAGGACGTCAAACCACAAACTTTTTCTAAGTCATCATCACCAACGTCTGACAAAAGTTTAACTGAGAATCGTAAAGATGAATCAGAAGTTTCAACAATATCGACAGAGATACAACCTTATGTAGTCCCAGAGAACTTAGAAAACTTGAGTGCAACTGCAGAAAGTAAGGATAATAACATTGAATTTGTTGCTTCGCAACTAGATACATCTCATCCTCAAAAAAGAAACTCGATTGATCAGACAAAAGAAGGTGAAATCCAGAAAAATAGCTTGGTAACTTCAATAGATGCAGCTTTCGTTGGTATCAAAGATACTATAGACGGAACTGAGGAACAAAACGAAGGAACGGAACCACTGACTTTTTCAAAATCACCATCTGATAAAAGTTTATCTGAGCACGGTGAAAATAAAATGAAAATTCTAACCGAGAAAGAGAGTAAGGAAGTTGACGCATCAATTCATTCAAAGTCACCGTCACCAACATCTCATAAGAGTATAACTGACGATCACAAAGATAAAACAGAAGATCTGACAATACCTACAAAGTCAGCCTCTTCTGCATTCCCAGAAAAGGCAGAAAGCTCGAGTCCGATTGCAAGAGATAAGCATGATTATTGCATAGAAACTGCTTCACAACAAAATTTATCAACTGATCAAGAAAGAAGCTTAATCGATATTCAGGACACTATTGACCAACCTAAAAAACATAGAGAAGAGGAGAAGTCACCAATTCTCTCAAAGTCAACATCACCAACATCTGATAGATGTGTTACCGACGATCACAAAAATAGAACAGAAGATATAGCAAAACCTTCAAAGTCCTCATCTTTTGCAGTCCCGAAAGAAGTAGAATGCCCAAGGCCGGTTGCTGGAGATAAGCACGATGATATTGAAGAAGCTACTTCACAAGATATATCACCTGTTCAGAAAAAGAGTTCAATCGATCAGGGCAAAGATATTGAAGTTCACAGGAAAGATTCAGTAGTTTCAATAGACACAACTTCCGGTGATATTCATGAAACTACTGACCAACCTAGAAAACAGAAAGAAGAGGAGAAGTCACCGATTCTCTCTAAATCAACATCACCAACATCTGATAAAAGTGTTATCGATGATCTCAAAGATAAAACCGAAGATCTGACAATACCTACAAAGTCACCCTCTTCTGCAATCTCAGAAAAGGCTGAAAACTTGGACCCTGTTGCAGGTGATAAGCACGATGATATCGAAGAGGCTGCTTTACAACAGAATTCATCAACTGTTCAGGTAAAAGGATCAATCGATCAGGGCGAAGTTGAGGTTCACAGGAAAGATTCAGTAGTTGTGATAGATACAGCTTCCGGTGATATTCAAGACACGACTGATCAACCAAAAAAACAGAGAGAAGAGGAGAAGTCACCAATTTTCTCAAAGTCAACATCTCCAACATCTGATAAAAGTGTTATCGACGATCCTAAAGATAAAGCAGAAAATATAGCAACGCCTACAGAATCTTCATCTTTTGCAGTCCCGATAGAAGTAGAAAATTCAATGCCAGTTGCAGGAGATGCGCACGATGATATCGAACTTGCGGCATCACAACATGATATATTACCTATTCAGAAAAAAAGTTCAATCGATCATAGCAAAGCTGTTGAAATTCACAGGAAAGATTCAGTAGCTTCAATAGATACAGCTTCTAGTAATATTCAGAACACTACTGGCCAATCTAAAAAACAGAGAGAAGAGGAGAAGTCATCAACTCTCTCAAAGTCAACGTCACCAACATCTAATAAAAGTGTTATCGATGAACACAAAGATAAAACAGAAGATATAGCAATGGCCACAGAATCCTCATCTTTTGCAGTTTCGACAGAAGTAGAAAACTCAATACTAGTTGCAAAAAAGGAGCACGATGATATCGAAATGGCCGCATCACAACATAATATATCACCTATTCACAAAAAAAGTTCAATCGATCCGGGCGAAGATGTTGAAGTTCACAGGAAAGATTCAGTAGATGATATAGATATAGCTTTCGGTGATATTCAGAACACTACTGACCTCCCTAAAAAGCAGATAGGAGAGGAGAAGTCATCGATTTTCTCCAAGTCAACTTCACCAACATCTGATAAAAGTGTTACCGATGATCACAAAGATAAAACAGAAGATCCGACAATACCTAAAAAGTCACCCTCTTCTGCATTCTCAGAAACGGCAGCGAGCTCAAGTCCAGTTGCAGGAAGTAAGCACGATGATATCAAACCTGCTTCGTCACAACAAGATATACCACCTACTCAGGAAAAAAGTTTAATCGATCATGGTAGAGAAGTCGACGTTCAGAGAAAAAATTCAGGTGTTGCAATAGCTACTGCTTCAAGTGATATTCAGGACACTACTGACCAACCTGAAAAACAGACACCAGAAGAAAAATCAACAATTCTTTCAAAGTCAGCATCACCAACATCTGTCAAGAGTGTTACTGACGATCACGAAGATGAAACAGAAGATCTGATAATACCTTCAAGGATCTCATCTTCTGCAGTCTCAAAAAAAGCAGAGGGCCCAAGGCCGGTTCCAGGAGATATACACGATGATACTGAAGAAGCTATTTCACAAGATATAATGCTTGTTCAGAAGAGAAGTTCAATCGATCAGGGTGAAGATGTTGAAGTTCACCATAAAGATTCAGTAGTTTCAATAGACACAACTTCCGGTGATGTTCATGACACTACTGATCAACCTAAAGAACAGAAAGAAGAGGAGAAGTCACCGATTCTCTCTAAGACAACATCACCAACATCTGATAAAAGTGATATCGATGATCACAAAGATAAAACCGAAGATCTGACAATACCTACAAAGTCACCCTCTTTTGCATTCTCAGAAAAGGCAGAAAGCGCCAGCCCGGTCGCAGGTGACGAGCACGATGATACCGACGAGGCTGCTTTACAACAAAATTTGTCTTCCGGTGATAATCAAGACACTAATGATCAACCTAAAAAACAGAGAGAAGAGAAGAAGTCACCAATTCTCTCAAAGTCAGCATCACCAACATCTGATAAAAGTGTTTCCGACGATCACAAAGATAAAGAAGAAGATATAGCGATTCCTTCAGAGTTCTCATTTTTTGCAGTCCCAAAAGTGATCGAAAGTCTAAGGCCGGTTGCAGCAGATAAACACGATGATATTGAAGAAGCTACTTCACAAGAAATCTCACCTATTCAGAAAAAAAGTTCAATCGATCAGGGCAGAGATGTTGAAGTTCAGAGGAAAGATTCAGTAGTTTCAATAGACACAACTTCCGGTGATATTCATGACACTACTGACCAACCTAGAAAACAGAAAGAAGAGGAGAAGTCACCGATTCTCTCTAAATCAACATCACCAACATCTGATAAAAGTGTTATCGATGATCACAAAGATAAGACCGAAGATCTGACAATACCTACAAAGTCACCCTCCCCTGCATTCTCAGAAAAGGTAGAAAGCTCAAGCCTGGTCGCAGATGATGAGCACGATGATATCGAGAAGGCTGCTTTACAACAGAATTTATCTTCCGGTGATATTCAAGACACTACTGATCAAACTAAAAAACAGAAAGAAGAGGAGAAGTCACCGATTCTCTCTAAGTCAACATCACCAACATCTGATAAAAGTGTTATCGATGATCACAAAGATAAAACGGAAGATCTGACAATACCTACAAAGTCACCCTCTGCATTCTCAGAAAAGGTAGAAAGCTCAAGCCTGGTCGCAGGTGATGAGCACGATGATATCGAGAAGGCTGCTTTACAACAAAATTTATCTTCCGGTGATATTCAAGATACTACTGATCAACCTAAAAAACAGAGAGAAGAGGAGAAGTCACCAATTATCTCAAAGTCAACATCACCAACATCTGATAAAAGTGCTACCGACGATCGCAAAGATGAAGCAGAAAATATAGCAACGCCTACAGAGTCCTCATCTTTTGCAGTCCTGAAAGAAATAGAAAGTTCAATACCAGTGGCAGGAGATCAGCACGATGATATCGAACTTGCTGCATCACAGCATGATATATCACCTATTCAGAAAAAAAGTTCAATCGATCAGGGCAAAGTTATTGAAGTTCAGAGACAAGATTCAGGTGTTGCGATAGACACAGCTTTTAGTGATATTCAGGATACTACTGACCAACCTAAAAAACAGAGAGAAGAGGAGAAGTCACCAATTCTCTCAAAGTCAACATCACCAACATCTGATAGAAGTGTCTCCGACGATCACAAAGATAGAACAGAAGATATAGAAAAACCTTTAGAGTCCTCATCATTTGCAGTTCCGACAGAAGTAGAAAGCTCAATATCAGTTGCAGATGAGGAGCACGATGATATCGAACTTGCTGCATCACAACATGATATATTACCTATTCAGAAAAAAAGTTCAATTGATCAGGGCCAAGCTGTTGAAGTTTACAGGAAAGATTCAGTAGCTTCAATAGATACAGCTTCCAGTCATATTCAGAACACTTCTGATCAAGCTAAAAAACAGAGAGAAGAGAAAAAGTCACCAATTCTCTCAAAGTCTGCATCACCAACATCTGATAAAAGTGTTACCGATGGTCACAAAAATAACACAGAAGATCTGACTATACCTAAGAAGTCACCGTCTTCTGCATTATCAGAAATGGTAGAAAGCTCAAGCCTGGTTGCAGGTGACGAGCATGATGATATCGAAGGGGCTGCTCTACAACAAAATTTATCAACTGTTCAGGTAAGAGGATCAATCGATCAGGGCGAAGAAGTTGAAGTTCACAGGAAAGAGTCACTAGTTGCAATAGATACAGCTTTCGTTGATATTCAAGACACTACTGATCAACCTAAAGAACAGAAAAAAGAGGAGAACTCACCAATTCTTATAAAGTCACCATCATCAACATCTGAAAAGATTGGTACTGAGCGACGTGTTGATGAAGCAGAAGATCTGGCAGTACCTACAAAATTCTCATCTCTTGCAGTCTTACAAAAGGCAGAAAGTTCAAGCCTGGTTGCAGGTGATGAACACGATGATATCGAAGAGGCTGCTTTACAACAAAATTTATCAACTGTTCAGGTAAGAAGATCAATCGATCAGGGCGAAGAAGTTGAAGTTCACAGAAAAGATTCCGTAGTAGCAATAGATACAGCTTCCGGTGATATTCATGACACTACTGATCAATTTAAAAAACAGAGGGAAGAGGAGAAGTCACCAATTCTCTCAAAGTCACCATCACCAACATCTGAAAAGATTATTACTGAGCGACGTGTTGATGAAGCAGAAGATCTGGCAACACCTACAAAATTCTCATTTTCTGCCGTCCCAGAAAAGGCAGAGAGCTCAAGTCCGGTTGCAGGAGGTAAGCATGATGATATCAAAATTGCTGCTCTACAACAAGATATGTCACTTACTCAGAAAAGAAGTTCAATCGATTGTGACAAAGAAATTGAAGTTCAGAGAAAAGATTCAGTTGTTGCTCTAGATACAGGTATCACTCAGGTTAAGGATACTACTAAACACTTTGAGATACAGAAGAAAGAAGTGAAACTACCAACTTCTTCTAAGTCTCCATCTCCAACATCTGATAAAAGATTTACTGAATCTCGTAAAGATAAACCAGACTATCTACCAATACCTACAAAGTTACAACCTTTTGCAGAGTCAGAATCGGCCTCGAGTGTGATTGCAGTCGTTAAGCACGATGACATCAAGACTGCTTTACAACAAGATTTAACATTTACTGAGAGAAAAATATCAACTGACGAGGGCAAAGAAAGAGACATTCAGGAAGAATTGCTACGATCTGACAGAACATTCGCTGAATCCAGTGCAGATGCATCGCAGAGTCTAAAATCACCCGTACTCGCACAGTCTTTATCAATTCTAGATAAAATGAGTCGTTCGGAACAGATTGTAGAAGATAAGGATATTCATAAAGAAAGTACAGTGGATCAGAAAGATGATATGAAATTCTCTCAAAAAGAATTCACGTATTCATGTGAAACAATTACTCGGGAATCTGAACCTACAACTGAACAAATCGAAGACCTGAATGAGACAGAAAAACTAAGTAGTCTTTCAATGCCATCATCACCAAAGTCTGATAAAACTTCAGCTGTACATAATGAAGATGAAACGAAAGTACTTAAATTACCGGTAACACCAGTATCTTCAGTCGTTTCCGAAAAAGCAACAATCTTTTCGGACATGTCGGGCGGACAAAGTCCGGTTGCTTGCGATATGGATGATAACATAGGAATAATTACACCGCAACAAGATTTAATGATTTCTCATAAAGATAAGTTAATTGATGAAAAAGAAGAGCAAAACATCAATGTTAAGGAACTTATTTCACCAATAAATACAACCGTAAGTGATATTCAAAGTTCTATCGATCATACGGACGGTAACTGTGAAGAAGAAAAACCAAAGAGTCCTTTGATGTCGGCATCATTAAGCGGTGATGAATGTTCAACTGATCATGGTGGTCATGAAACGAAAGATCCAAAATTAGCTATTACAACATCAGATCAGACGAAGAGTATCGATGAAAAACAAGCGGAACAAAGTCATGGCAAAGAATTTGAATCTCCCATCATCTCTCAGGAAAGGAGAAGGTCTATAGATCAATTAGAATCTTGTGGTGATGATAGATCTATTACTTCAAAAATATCAATATCACCGTGTTCTGATATAAGCATAGCTGAAGGAAGTGAAATTGATTCAAAAGATGTTAAATTATCTTCATCATTACAATCTTTAGTAGAATTAAATGATTCAAGAAGCTCAAGTCAAAAAGACGATCTTACATACAATCAGGACCAGAAAGAGCAATATGACGAAAAATCATCATCTTCGAAATCACTAATATCAAATGAAAAGAGTAGCTCCACTTGTCCAAAAGAAGATCAAATTCAGAAAATTGAATCCACACATTTGTCAGTGTTGCTGAGGGGTACTGAAGTTATAGCTAATGAAAAAAAAGATGATTCAAGAGACCACAAATCAATTACGGCTTTAGAATCTTTAATTGCACCAGAGCATGAAGAATTCGAGAGTAAACTCATGACGGAGTTACTTGATGACGCTGATAGTACAAAATTACCAACGTCTAAGAAAGTGAGTCAAGGCGAAATTCCAGTGGATAATAATATTATAGAAGAAGAACAACTATCTGCTTATAAACCGGTATCGCTCAGTGTAATCGCATCGAGTAAAGAAATGAAAAATTTGGATCAAAATTTAGAAGACGACGAAGATACAATTCAAACTGAACCAGCCGAAGATGACAGTTTCGTTGATCAAACTGATGACTGTGTCAATCTGAAAATAGAAACTGGATCGAAGCCGATGTCATCGAATTCTGATCAAACTGTAGATAAAGGTCAAGAAAATCAGTCAGATGATTTAAAGTCATCTTCAGCAACACAGTCGTCAATATTGATAGAAGATAAGAGGAATTTAATTGAAGAAGTTAAGGATGACAAATATACCATTGATGAAGATATCATAATAGGTCAAAAAGAAAAAGTAGAGGAAGTAAGCTTATTTTTAACACCTGAAACGTCAGTATCATCAGATAAACCACAAAATCTAAGTGCGAATGTTGATGTTCAAGATACTGTTAAAATTATAGTATCATCAAAAGATAGCCCAGTTGAAAGAGACAATTTGTTGGACAGAGAAGATAAGTTACACCATGATGGAGATCATATACCTCCAACATCACCAGTAACTAGTCAGCAACTTATTTTAACTGATCGAATCCTCGAAAAAGAGGGCAAAGAAAAAGTAATTACTTCATCATCACCACAGAAAGAACTTTCAGATAAATCAAAAAATCTAACAGACGATGGAGATGAAGAGTTTGATAGTCACTACGAAATTGAAACGCCATCAGAAGTGTTAAAGACTGTGGATTTATTGAAAAACAAATCAGATAAGGACGAAATGTCGAAAACATCAAAAACAACAATTGTAGATACAAAGCATTTCACCGAAAAAATTATTGAAAGTGGTGAAGATTCTGAACCTAGTCAATCCAAACGTGCATATGACGACGAAGATGAGTTGGCTTCAGTTTGTTCAAAAAATGTTGATGAAAGCTTAGCAGATGTTAATAAATCAAACATAAAGCTTGATGAATTTAATGATGAAAGAAAATATACATTGACACAAAAAAATGATATTGAAAACTATATAATGAGTGAATATGTGATAAAAGGCCGAAAAATTGTTAGTGATAATCTTGAAGAGATTGTTAATCTTTATGATGTGTCAAAAGACATTGTAGTTGAAATAATTGAAGAAATTTGTAATAAAAAAAATATTGAAATGGAATTTATTTTTCACAAAGATGAAAATATAAAGCTTAATACTGAATATTTGGTAACAAAGAAAGAAATTCAACCGACTGATTTAATTACGGACAAAAAAGTAGATGTAGAAAATAGTGAATTTTTAATCAAGAATAAGGAACAAGAAGAAATGTTAAAGAAAAAATATGAATTTTATGATGAAAAGGAAAAAAGTTCCATAACTGAAAAAAAAATAATGGAAGTAGAGTCCAAAATTCAAGACAAATATATAAACGAGAATAATAAAATTTCTTGGTCTGATCTTGATGAAATGGAAAAAACTTTATCCGTACCTAGGTATATATTAATTGAAATGATTGAAAAGTTAATAATAAAAATGCATTTATCGCGAAAGACTATTTATGATCAAATTATTTTGGATGAAAGTCATGACGGAAATGAACTTTTCGATCGACGATCTAGCAAGCCAGCAACTGAATGTGAATCTTTTGAATGTTCAACGTCGCAAATCTTAGACCATGACAATAAATATGAAAGTCAATTTCAAATGTCCTTCCCTAGTACAATAACAGAAATGCGCACAACTCATATAACTACTTTTAGTGAACAGTCCGCTGATGATTTACAATCCGATCCAAATCATTTTCTAGACTCCGCTGAATCTTCAAGGTTAACGGCAACATCTTTAGATACAAAAAATATCGAAGAAAACATTATTAGTGATAGAGATGTGGAAAGAGAAACAGCAAAAAAAAAGGATATTTCAGTTAAAGGCGAAACTAAAACTGTTGGAGAGATGCCAGAATATGACGTTATTATCAAAAGAACAGGTATAAAGAGTAGCTTAGTTGAACCAGAGATCAAAAATGAAGATGAAAGTAAGACTGCAGTTACTCATAAAGAATCAGCATTGGAAAGAAAAGAAAAATATGAGACTGATGAAATAAAACCGATAGAGTCAAGAGAAAAAGTACACAGTTATAAAAGCCATCTAGGTATGATAACTTCGGAAGAAAAATCAGGGAGATCAACTCCTGAAAGAAGAGATGGATTCGATAGTTGTTCTAGAACAGCAACCCCAGAAGGTTTTCGTTCTGAAGAAGTTATAAGAACCACAATAACCACAACTAGAACAATATCCAATGAAGGGGAAATCGTTACAACTACTAAAGAAGTAACAGAAACGACAAATGAACATGGTGAAACAATTGTTTTAGCAGAAAAAGTAGATGTTATGGTAGCAGACCAAGGGTCATCGTTGACTAAATTAGCTTCAGTTGAAACCGATCAATCATCAGAAATCCAAAAGTCGGATTCGTCCTGTTTAGGTTTACAAACCTCTTCGAGTGATTCTCATGATAATAATGATCAACTTTCAACTCATGTTTGGCCTAAGTGTGAAGAGACGACTCCTAAACCTGAAACAATTGAGACTTCATCGTCAATTTCATCTCAAGTTTATCATTGTGAAATGCAAAGTAAGCCTGTTGAATTTTCTGCAGCTGATATGAGTAGTAGTTTTTACGGCCAGTTACCATCTATACCACCTTGTCATGAAATGGAATCATCTATCACGCTTGTTAGTTCGAATGACGGTGATGATTTTACATTTAAAAAAGTAACTACATATGATGTCCTAAGTGACGACATGCAATTACATCAAACTACAAATATTGAAAAAGATGATGAATCTCGAAAAGTATACGAAGCTGACGAAGAAAAAAGTAGTGAAGCAGCTAAGGATCCATTAAAAGATTGGGGTAAACCAATGAAGTTACCACCCCCTGAACGACCAGATAGATTCAATTTTGGAAATAACACATTAAACCGCAGTATTAACATTCCATCGAATTCATCTGATTTCGACATACTTTATGATTGGGGAAAACCTATGGAATTACCTTCACCTGCTTTTGGTGGTACCGAATCCTCTGATAAGACATCGTCATTAACACCACGAAAAGATAATAAACAGTCTAAAAAAATCATCTCAGAAAACTTGAAAAATAAAAAGCACTCAGAAAGTCCTAGCAAAAGTAACAAAAAATCTAAAGAAATCAACAATAAGATTCAACCAATTTATTTAGATCTGACTTTCGTTCCTCATCATGGAAATTCTTATTACACCTCATTCGAATTTTTCAAGCAAATACGGGCAAGATATTACGTTTTTAGTGGGACAGAACCAAGTCGTGATGTATATGATGCATTACTGAATGCTAAGAAGACTTGGGAAAATAAGGACCTTGGTAAATACATTTTTTTCATTTATTTTAAGATTTACCTTATCAAATTTATTTGCAATTGAATGAATTTATTTATTCGTTTTTTTTTTTTTTTTTTTTTTCAGAAGTGACGATTATTCCCACCTACGATACTGATACTTTAGGTTATTGGGTAGCTGATAATGAAGAAGCACTTGCAGAAAACCATATTGATCTTTCTCCATCCGCTTCACGGTGTACAATCAATCTTCAGGATCACGAAACAAGCTGTAGCGCTTATCGACTTGAATTTTAAATTTCGTTAATATAAATGGTCATACTAGTCAAAAGTTAAGTTCTTAATTAAAATATTTTGTAAATTTATTTCGTAATATTTACTGCAACTTTCATATAGAATAATTTGAAGACTTAACGATAATTTTTTAAGATAATTTATTTGAGCCATTTAAATCAATATTCAGCATTATTTCATGTTTATGTAATGTAAATATCAGTATATGTTGTAATAGCATTGAGTATATAGATCTGTGATCTAGATTTGTGATAAATTCCAAGCAGAATGAAAAAGATAAAATTATGAATTATATTAATTAACATTCATAATAGCAGCTTTTCTTGTTATCGAATTTCAATACAACTTTTAACTTATTTGTGAAAAATTAATATTTTCTGAGTTTTAATAATAAATTTGCTTTTTTAATTGCATCTATAAAAATAAAAGTTATATTAGATTTTCGGATGGAAATCAAGCCTTAATTATTTTGCAGTATGTTAATTTATAATAATAATTATAAAAATCAAATCAATCAAGCCAACGTAGAACGAAATAATCAAGGAACGTATGGTTAACTTATATTGTTAATTATTAGAATATATAAAGCGTTCCATTTTTAATAACTTAAAATATTAATCAATCGTTGTAAAACTGATTCAAATTATTAATTTTTTTTTTTTTTATAAATATAGCTTTTAAGTATGTTTTTAGAATGTTCTAATTGAATAAATTCTTGAATGCCTATGAAAATAAAAAATAAAATTGATTGATGTTGTATAAGAAGATAAAGTACCCAGTACTTGACACGTGACATGTTTTGAACAAGTTTATACAAGTGATATTATTAAAAAAAAAAGTTAAGGCAATAAATGTGGATAGTACTTATATTTTAATATTGTTTAGAGATTTAGCCCATTAATTATGATTGATGGCATCAAATTTGAAATCAACGTTATTTTTATTTTATTTGAGTAGACATTACTCAAAAAAATTTCTTATCAGGCCTGATATCATCCAATATGCCTCGATGTGGTCATAGCACAAAATTACGAAAAAATACTGAGCTTGGTAAATAAATATGATTAGGAATAAATTGTTTTATAATAATTAAAATGAATCATATTAAATCCTTAGATTATTCCAAATCATTTTAGTACTTTTAAATGATCCTTATTAAATTTTATTCGACCATATTTCATAAGAAAAATATGTTTATATCTGGCCTGATACACAGAAAAAAAAAAGGGTGACACGACAAAATCTCCCCGGAAAAAATCTCTCCGACAAAATCTCCCCGCGACAAAATCTTCCCGACAAAACCTCCCCAAGACAAAATCTCCCCGCGACAAAATCTCCCCACTACACAAAATTTATAATAAAAATAAAAAGTTTGGAAAATCAAAAAGTGCACGACTTATAATGCTCACTTAATTATGAAATATTAAAAAAAAAAAAAACATAAGCTGTTCAAAAACGATTATCCGCGTTTGTGTTGGTCTAATGTCGAATATTTACACACAAAAACCATGTTAAAAGGGCGCAACACGATTATCCGCGTTTGTGTTGGTCTAATGTCGAATATACACACACAAAAACCATGTTAAAAGGGTGCAACACGGTCACAAGCAAAGGTAATAAAATAATCATAAAATATTTAAATTATAACAAATTTTTAAAATTAGTTAAGAGAGATTTTCTTAGTGAGATTTTGTTGTTGGGAGATTATGTCGGGGAGATTTTGTCTTGGGGAGATTATGTCGGGGAGATTATGTCGGGGAGATTTTGTCCGGGGAGATTTCGTGGTACAACCAAAAAAAAGATTTTTTTGTCAAGCCAAGAAAAGTTTTCCGATAATCTAAGTTGTTTTGGAGCACGAAGAAATATTATGAGACAGAAAAATTTTCTTGGCTCAATAAAACTTTACTTTAGCCAAGAGAATTTTTCATTTTCCTAAATATTTTCGTGAGCCAAGGAGTTTAGTTCTTTAACGGAGAATTGTTTTTTCCTGTATATAGTTGAATATGCCCATTTATGATTTTAAAATATGACAATATAAGCTTAATAGTTGATACCCGCTCGCTTGGCTGAGCACACAATAAAATTCGATTGTATAACTTAGGTATGTAAAATATAAATGAAATCATTTAATTCTAGTCGGTCCCTGAATAAAAAAAAGTATTGGGACAAAAGAAAAAGTATTGAAAAGTATTGGATTGATCAGAAAACCAATACTTTTCAATATTTTTTTCTTTGTCTCAATGCTTTTTTTTTATCAGGGGTAGTAAGAATAAATTCAAAATTAAAATGTAAGGATTAACTCAATTAAGAACTAAATTCCTAATCTTCTAAAAGCTTAGTTCAAACCGGCGAATAGTCCTTTATATACCCTCTTCTCGCGTAGCCTCAAAAATTTTGATTTCGCATCTCGTTCCGTGTGATGTTATTTTCCCCGCAAGAAACATGTCTGGTACATTGCAAATCTATGTTTCATAATTCCAGAGAAGTCTTATGTTGTAAGTTGTAGTTATAATTCATCTGTTAATGATTTTATTACTCTCGACTTCTCATCTAACATTTCTATAAAAGGTTATTTTTTTTAACGTAAGCTGTTAATTATCAAATGACATTAAGCTTTAACCCGAACGAATAGAGTTTATCTATTGTACGATTTTTGAATTGCACATGAACTGCTTAGGTAATCAATCATAAAACTATTCTCTTCTAATGTGTGTGATGAAAGATTCAGTAATCTACAGATCCGGGTATTCATCGTTATGGATCAGGAACTATCAGACCTCAATTACTTATCATAAAACATGAAGATCAAGGTTTCATAAGTTCACTTTATATTACCTTCAATAAAGCGTATGGGTAGAAGTAAGTATTACTATGAATTTTTTATTATCTTCCAATTAATTAATACAATTGATGAGAAAAAGAAATAAAAATTTTTTTTTAATTTTACAACAAACATATTAATTTTTTTTTTTAACTGAGTTTAACTTGTCACTGTAAATTTAATGATTGTTGCCATATCAACGAATGCTATAATAGCAGTGACAATAGTGAAGATTACCGTTACAACGGTAACTGTAGTAATGGTTACTGTGGCAACGATTATCATAGCAACAGTTAATATGTTCACTGTTGTTATGATGACTATTGCCACAGTAACCATGGCCAAACTTACCAAAATATTTGACACAAAACGTAAACAATTAAGAGGAGACGGTAACCGGACTCTATATCCGCGGACAAAATATCCTTGTCAAAATTTAATTAGAGTATTGTTTTGACTTGCACAGATTCCAGATTCTGTCGAATTGGCATGCACCTTTTATCCATGTGATTATTCTAGCTAATATTCATTGAAAATTTCAATATCCAATCATTGTAACATTCCATGACATTTTTTGTCCGAGGATATAGAGTCATAGAACCTAAGTGACAAGTTTTCACTCAACTGTTGTGCAGTCACAGCGAATACTGCGCATGCACGTATGTACTAGTACATATGGTAGCTACCTTATTTATAAGTAGGAGTGAAGCGTTCCACATTTTTTTTTTAATAAATATAAATAATGCTGTGAAGCGGGAAAGAATAGGAGTTACGGATAATTATTACGTGAAGCGTTCCAACATTCACGTAACAGTATAATTGGTAGGAAAGTATTGAGAAAGGATTGTGGAGAGAATCATCTTAATGTGAGTTTATAGAATATGCGAGAAAAAATTATTAGATAGCTCGGACTGGGATTCGAACCCAGAACCTTCTGAAGACATGTCGGCTACTCTACCATTTGAGCTATCCGGTCTATACTAAATTTCCTTTCACTTATTCTATATACATTAAGCCACACCGTCCATCTTAGCATTTATGGTAGCTACCATAAAAATCACCTTCGGCACTTCCCTTCTTTCTCTTACAACTCGCTAAAACTTATTTTGTACATACACTGTTTGTATATACACTATTTGTAACATTGTCGCGCAAAAAAATTAAAAAAAAACCCAAATTTTTGAAATTTGAAAAAAAATTCATAGAAAAAACCTAGACGTGATGGAAAAAATCGGCCAATGGGGATAGATTCAAAACATTTGAATCGTCATATTTATGTCAAAATTTTTTAAAGGAGGATTTCATTGCAGACCAGTGTTACTTGTAAATAAAATTGAGAGTAATACAAAGTGTTTTTCAGTTATTAAGAGTAGGAGATTTAGAGATTTTGTATGTAAGAGACCAGGTAATTCAAAGAGAATTTGGTAATTTTATATTATGAAATTGGATTTAAATCCCTACTAATATTATAAATTCACGCAAAAAACTACTTAACCGATCATCATGAAACTTTATACACATATTCTTGGAAGTATTAGAAGTAACATAGGATACTTGTTATTAAAGAAAAAAATTTATTTTTTACGAAAGATAAAAAAATTGTTTGTCAAAAAATTTAAATCACATTGATTCAGTTCTATTGGAATGTTATGATCTTTGATATTTATCAAAGGACTTCAACGCGAGCGAAGCAACGGGTAAATGCTAGTTAAAAATAAAATCATTGTTTACAATAAAGTAATCTTTTTCATCATTTTTTTTAACTTTGAAGATTTAGTATGGTTTTCATTTAATCATACGAAAAATATAAAAAAAATCATTATCTATAATATTATATGATTTAAGGTAGTTCCAGCATGAAATCACTTTTCGACAGATTCGGCTGAAATTTTTTTTACGGGTTCAGAATAGCTTTATTTATAAATTCCTAAAATTTCATAATTTTTGACCGTTTAGATCGCGAGATATTCAAAGTCAAAGTTGGCGATTTTGAGGGTCATGTTCCATCTAAAGCATGTAAAATGTCCGGTCTCTCCAACTATTTTTTATTATATTAAAAAATTCTCTCGACAGAATTAGAAAAAAAATTAGGAGAGTGTTGAAAAATGTTTTTAGAATAAGTTAAAAAAATAAAAATAGCACCTCACCGTTTTGTTATCGAGATATAATAATTTTAAAAAAT